CAAGGGTCAATGATACATTACGATCCGGGCAATATTATCCAAGTCAGAAGCTCAGTGATTTATTTTTTTTTGAATTTTCTTCATTTGGTTTGGAAGATTTTAGGAAATAGTTTGTTATGGGGGGGGGGGGCATTACTTCAACTGAGGGTCCAAAAATTTGGCATAATGGTGGTGACTGTATTTTTTTGATGTAGATGTAAGTAGAAATTAGACGACTGAAGCAATTCTGAAATCAGGTAATCGAGATTGATCTTGTCCCTAAACCACGTAACTTATATATATACCTGTCATTGTCACTTTCAGAATTCTGAATCCATAATCATGGGTTTGCGTAGCTCCTTGGGAATTAAATTCAGCCACATTAATATGCAACTCATCCATAAAAACGAAAAACAAAAAGACTTTAAAATAAGAAAGTGAAGAGAAAAAGAAAATACGAGGCAGTAGTTGTTGGGTTTTTTTTTTTTTTTTTTTTTTTTTTTCAAGTACTTTTAAGTTATTATAATAGAGTGTTTGGCTGCAAAATTTTGGAAGATAGATTAGGGTTCCCCCATTTACTAATTGAAGAAAGTCCTACAAAGATCTGAACATGAAAACTATGGTAGATCTCAGAAATTTAATTAAAATTTACCATGCACCTCAAATCAAATTTTTTTGACGACTTATTTTCTATTGTTTAATGACTGGGATTGAGTCTTGCAACATAGATGTTCTTTTTCCATATCTAGAAGCTGAAGAATGTACAATTTTCTCCAATTAGCTTCAAATTTGGTAAACTTTTCTCTATATTAAAATTTATCAACGTAGAAGAAAAGAAAATGTACCCCCTAGACATTCTAATATTACTCAGCTTATGAGATTTTTCTTTGTTTCTTTCTTTCCCCATCCCCCACCGATGGCTTCATATATGATATATGTTTGACCAAAAAAGAAACATATGATCCAACATTGTTTAAGGCTTCTCCTTTATCTTAAGAAAAAGTTTCTATTCGCCCTTTGTGATTTGTCTTGCTACTTTCCAATGCCAATCTAAAGAAAAGCTGAAACATCCAAATCTAACTAGTTTTTATAGTTATATAATCTTCCAACTTATCTTGGAGAATATATGTTCACTGGCAGTGCCCTTTTGTTTTTATATTTCGTTTGGAATAACTTTTCTCAAGAACTACTTGGATGGCTTGTGGGATCCCATCGTCCATTTAATGTTGTGTCCCATAATTTCCTCTTTTTTGCAAAGTTTTTGTGTCCCAATAGGGCGCTGCCATGCGGTTGTGGCTCACTTCCAAAGATTCAGAATTTTCTTTTTAGAGATATAACGCGTGGGTCCTCCCCAATATTCCAGAATCTTTTCTTTCTCAACTTTTTTCCTTCTTAGTTTGTTTTTGCTTCAATAATAATTTTTGTTATTCTATTTTATTGTTTACAAATCAAAACCATCCAGTGGGCGTGCCGGAGTGGTTATCGGGCATGACTAGAAATCATGTGGGCTCTGCCCGCGCAGGTTCGAATCCTGCCGCTCACGTTTTTTTGAGCAATAGCCAATAAGTATACATAGATAGATCATCATAATTATGTTTTTACTGTTTAGCGGAATAGTCAAATGTTAATCCTTTGCTTAGAAAGCAAACATTTATGATTAGCTATCGAATATATATTTTTTCCTATCAGTCAATTATTTGTACTATACCTAATCAGCCAAGAACTTATAATTGGCTTTCTGAAAAAAAAAATCATAGTTAGTTCTATAGCCGTGGGTAAATTCCCTTGTATTGCCGTATTGGTATTTAGTGAATTATTCCCATCATGTCTTTTCCATGTTATTTTCCGTATGTTTTAACTATAGATCCCAAAAGGCCAAACTTAAAGCAGGATTAAAGCCAAATATGTGTGCTTACAATCTGAAATCACACACAAGTAACAGAAGAGTGAGCCAATCAATCATGAGCAATTTGAATTCAACAATTACAAGCTAGGTGGCTTTGATTAATTTAGATAAAAGCAAGTCAATAATCTTATTGGTTCCTTCGTCTCTTTGCTTTCACATTATATCATACATTGATATTTATTGTTGAACAACTAAATTCCATGAATGGTTTTGTCTTAATTCCTTCAGAATTTAATTCGGTAGTGAAATGATCGCATGTCAAGACTATTAATGAGTATAGTGGTACTATATTTAAAAAAGTGTTTATCCTTTTATCATTTAAACGGAATAAATTTTAGAAACTTTTTACTGTAAGTTACGATGATACATGTTTTTAAATATTTAACTTAGTTGAAATCACATTAAAATAAAAAATAAATATTTGATAGAATTTAATATGACGATCGATTTAAAATAGAACTCTACTAATGTAGTATTAGTATCCTGCCGTAAAATTCTCATAAATTAAATTGATGAATGCTTATTATTACCTTTTTCCTATCAACCTTTACTCAAAGGTTGATGTGCTACTAAGATAAGTTTTGTTATGTGGCTACGCATGTGTCAATGAAGGTCGACACATTTTGGAAACCAAAACTCAACTTGCACACCGTCATCATCTGTCGTTGCCACATGCCTTCAAGTTAATTATTAATTAAATATAAAAAGCAGGAAAAGGAAACAGGGAAAATAAATTGAACAGACAAAGAACAATGCTGGGGAGTATATATATATATATATATATATATATTAATGGGGGGTAATTCTCTGAGGCTTATTTAATCGTGTTCTTTCTTTACTATAACGTGGAATCCGCTAAAACGAGAGCAGATAAAGACAACAATGTAATCAAAACATTTTTCATGTCATTATAATTTGTAACTTTGAAATGACCATCATTATCCGTAGGATTTGGAGATCAACATCGCGGAATAATCTTTTTTAATTAAAACAAATCCACACATTTTTTATTTTATTTTTTATGGTGGGCAAATAAAGTACCTAGCTATCCTCCAAGGGACCAAAAAAAAAAAAGAAAAGGTCCCTATTCAACGCTTTGCTTGAATATTTGGCAAGTAGTCAAATAAAAAGCTAGAAAGCAACAACCAACAAAGTGTTGATAGAAAAGTGATCATCTTGATAATGAACCCTTTTCGAATATAGCTAGTATGGAATTTGCATTTCCTAATCCTTACACGACAAGTAGTTTTGCTCTTTTTGTTAGCTGGAGAAAAATTATTACTTTTTTATGATGGGAAAATCCTATTCTAGGATGAAAAATATATATTATTTTCTTTATACTATCAAGAGTAATTTTTTTTTTTTTTTTTTTTGAACCGTTTGTTCTTTAGGGACGGAGCCAAAGCAGCTCCAGTCAAAATTTTTTCTGTTTTAAATCTTATATGTATAATTGGGGTATTATATTATATTAGTACTAATTAGCCTCCACTAAAATTAATGTTTTTAATAGCCCATAATTTCCCTAATCAGAATTTGTTTACTTTTTTTTTAGAAGAAAAGATTTTATTAGTTAAATACCTACATTCATATATAATGTTCATTCGTAAGTGTATATACGTCTATATATAACTTCATTCTAAATTTCTAATATTTAGCTGATAATTTATTGAATAATTATGAAGAGGTATTTTAAAGTGGGGATTCTTATAACACCCATTGATAAAAAAATTTTGTTTAGTTACTAGCTCCAGTTGAGAAACATTTATGACTCCGTCACTGTTGTTCTTGATGATATTTTGTGACATTTGCAATTTGTTTGATTTTAATTAATATCTTTGTAATTGCCAAAGGATCAATATTTAATTCTTTAAATCATGGATCACGTGTCTAAACATTTTTTTAATTAGCAGACACGTGTCTAAATAGTTGTCCTATTCATATATTCAAACTATAAATAAGGTAAGCCCACAAGTCGAGAGATAAGTTCTACGAAAGAATAAATTCATATTAAAATGATTTAAACGAAATGGTGATCCTAATTATTTTTATTTTCTGAAAATGTAATGCTAATTACTATTTGGTGCACTCAAGCATACTTTAGGATCCTTCACAAAATAAAAATAGAAAGCATACTTTCCATTTTTTAATCTCTCTCTCTCTCTCGTCTCCATTATCTAGTTGTGACCCCCAATTTGCGATAGCAAAAAAAAAAAAAAAAAAAAACAAAAGCAATAAAAACATGTTGAAAAATGAATCCAGAAGCTTTTATGGCAGATCGGAGTAGATGACGAAAGAGTCATATATGCTCTGGTCATATTAAGGTGGCACGTCAATGCCATGTGCTCAGTCACATTTGAGGCTCTTGTGACTGCGGTCACGAAGAATGATACTTCCGTTAATAGACTAAGGCCCCGTTTATTTCGCTGATTCGAGTTTAGAATTCGAGTTGAGATGTGACTTTATGTGAAAACTTTTTACTGTAGCAAAAAAGTTAGATGTGATTGTTTGTGAGAACTTTTTACTGTAAAAAAACTCAAATTCTAAACTCGAATATGCGAAGTGAACATGGCCTAATTCTCTAAAAAACGTAAGCTTTAAGTTTTTCAAGACGACGTGAGCGAATAATAAATTTATATTCTAACATCTTCAACCGTATAATCAAACATCACCGACCCAATTTGTTCGCTTGCTTCTCAAACATCGACTCTTGTAATTACGTATCACCTTTCCTCCTCCTCTCTGAGCTCTCTGTTAGTCTCTAATTAAATTTTTGAAACTCTACCTCCTCTTAGAGAAGTGCACAACTCATCAATGAGAAACCGAATATTCCTCCATATATTCCATCTCCACGCATAGCCAATCCCATGGCACACTTGTTTATGTAACCTTCACAATTCAGTTCATAGTTATTGCCCATGCAGAAATATTAAGGAGGTATGAAATCTTCTGATGAGGGCTACCTCACCATAACCAACTCTCTCTCTCTCTCTCTCTCTCTCTCTCTCTCTCTCTCCATTTGTCATATTTATATACAAGTCCTTCACTTCTCTCTTTGTTTCGAATTAACCCCTCTATCTTTAACAAGTAGTACTTGTTTGTTTCATAGCGGTGTCTAAAGGAACTTGATTGATTGATTGATGGAGGGTCACACAATGAAAGAGTAGGGGACTCCTCAACCAATACTACTACTGTTATTACTAATACAAATACAAACCATCACGGTAGAGCCAGTTCCTTGCGGAACATGAACATGAATAACAATAGTAATAATAATAATAGTAATAGTGCTGACATGCAGTCACATTGCGTGGAGGTGCACCCGGTGGTGCCGCCTCCACATAGAAGTTCCCTACAGAAACTCGGGGCAAAACTCAAAGAAACTTTTTTCCCCGACGACCCGCTCAGGCAATTCAAGGGACAACCAATCAAGAAGAAGTGGATTCTTGGAGCTCAGTATGTGTTCCCTATTCTCCAATGGGCTCCTCAATACAGCCTCAAGCTCTTCAAATCCGACGTCGTTTCTGGCCTCACCATTGCCAGTTTAGCCATCCCACAGGTCTCTTTTTAATGGTCTTTTTTTTTTTTTTTTTTTTTTGGGTGTGTGTTTAGTGACATTGAAAAATGCTTTTTTTTTTCTTGTTTTTTTGGCAGGGAATAAGTTATGCCAAACTTGCAAATCTCCCTCCCATTGTTGGTCTTTGTGAGTAACCTCTTTCTCAAGCCATTATTTTTTTCCCTCAAAAGAACTGTTTGGTTGAAATTCTGATTTCTTTTTTGGGGGGGATTTTTTATTTTTTCTAAGATTCAAGCTTTGTTCCTCCTCTGGTGTATGCTGTCTTTGGAAGCTCAAGAGACCTTGCAGTGGGACCCGTTTCCATTGCTTCTCTGATATTGGGATCAATGCTTAGACAAGAAGTTTCTCCCACAAAGGACCCTCTCTTGTTCCTCCAATTAGCCTTCACTTCCACCTTCTTTGCCGGTTTCTTTCAAGCTTCTCTTGGATTCTTAAGGTCATCCTCTCAACCATATATATATATATATATATATATATATATATGT